GCTGACATGTCGGTGTGACACTTAGTAAGAGCGCGCATGCTATGTACATCTCACGCTCGGGGTGCTGTCTTTTGTGTTTTCGACTTCTTTATAGCGGCATAGTTCATATTGAGCCAATCACAGTCAATGCAGCAGCCTATTCTACAGCCACCATTCTGGATAATATGGACACAGTTATCCGCTGAAATACCTGACCTGCCATTTAAAAGAGTTCCATGGAATCATAAATAAGGTACTTGAAAATCTTTCCTAGGAGGTTTATTCAATGCTAATATTTTTCGAGTACCAGCTATTGAAATTCACTCTCTCTCCTACTCCCCTCCCCCAAAGCCACGTGGAGATTGTATCAGTAAGGTGGTATATGTTGATTAGGACTTCACATTCGGCTAGTTGAATTTGGTTCATGGTGGATGTAGAATGCTGTTGTAGCTTGGCTGGGGCAAATGCGGGTTTGGCTTGAGAGGGGCAAATGCCCCTATTGCATCCCACTGCTGACGCCTATGTGTTGGGGGGGGGGGATATTTGGGAATATTTCCCAAAGAAACACAGGGCTACTTGTTTGCATAACTTCCGCCATTGTTCTTGTGTAAATGAATGCATGTATGAGAGGGCAAAGCTACAGCCGCCACTTTGCGCAGCTCTTGATGGAGCCCGTTACTTTGTTGAAGTGCGAATTATTACTTTGTCACTCACGGCCAACGCAGGTCGGGTACTCGCACGTGCCAGCAAGCTGAAGAAACACCAGGCGCAAAACTACGACAACAACTCGCACGACGAATTTCCGCATATCTTCGGCGGTCATAGAAGTGGCAACGATGACAACGGATCACATGTTTCTGTACAGGACCTCTCTGGTCTCGGCAAGTGAACGCTCCTTCGTCCACTAAGGTTTTCATGCGTGCATTGTGTCCTGACCCCACTCATTTTGGGCACACCACGTATACATTCTTCATCTGTGATATGTCCAATGTGAATGTTTCGTTAAAAGTAATGGTATACTTGTACATTTGTGTCTTACTACGCAGTCGACGAAGTGCTACTGAGCTGACACTTCTGAAAACGAACGGCACATTCGTTTATGCGTGCCTCAAGGGACTCGCAGGGATATTCTATGAAGGCTGAAAAAGACAGCGGCCCATATATAACATAAGCAATAATTCCCTCCAGCTGCGTAGGCGCAAGTTGTGGCCTGGCGATGTGTGGGAAATTTGTTCCAGCCTTGTGTCATATGCCTAGAGATAGTTTTGGAAGGTCCTTGTACAAGTCCGCTTGAAGAACTTTATTAAAAAGTTATGGACCACCTCTTTGAAGAGAAAACATGATGGGATGCGAAGCAGCAGCGATTGCTGAGTAACGCCACCAAGGTCACGGGCCGCGGTCACCACTGTTAAGTAATGCGTGTTTCACAGCTTGCGGCTGCTTCTGCGCAGAGCTCATAGACGGAGCGGACACGGTGACGGTGAGCTAAGGGAACATTTGTATACAGCATAAAAAGAGGCGTTACATATTCGGCACTGCGGCTGACAGCTTAGGGAGCTCGAAAAGCCAGGATGTCTTCGGACGCTCTGACACTGTCGTCTGCTGCTTGTAGTCGCACCGCTTTGTTCTTACGTCAGCAGCCTCCGATCAGGAACGCTGCTGAAACTTGCGTCAGCAGCCTCCAATCAGGAACTGCCGATGGATTACACCCAAGGGCGAGTGGTATTGCCACGCGTTGCGTAAGACGCGCCGGGCTAGATGACGTCGACTGCATCATCGGGCTGGAATCGGACCTGTGGGTGGAGGGAGCTCACTGCATGTTGCGTAAGACACACTGTTTTCGATGATTGCGTCAGCCTGGCTCGCCCGCTGGTGTTGACACTGGTTGCCTTTGCAGAATTTATGAAGTTCGGTTTGGACTTCAAGGCATAACACGGTGCGCACGCCATTGAACTGGCTGAAACGGGCGTCGACGCGGATGCTGGAAAACGGTTTGAAGCGAAACTCGGTGTAGCCTTTACTCGAGTAAACGTTCCTTTGAAACGCAAAGACAGGGAAGGCGGGCTGGGTTTTGTGTAAGTTTCATTACAGATAAACGAGCCGAAAGTGTTTTCACGCGATGTGCGGTCGGGGAAGAGGGTGGAACGAGAGAAGTGTGTTGCGAGCTGTCGAAGAAGCAACACCACCTAGGTGTGTTGGGAGGAGTCGGCAGCTGCTGCAGGTGAGGTAGTGACGTCAACGTGCAGCTGCGACTTGACTTACTTGACATCGTTCCAACAACTGTGGCGGGGGGGAACGTGGTGCGCCGCGTAGGCACGGACGGAAATTGTTGCACAGGCTAGAGCTGCATCGTAATTCTTCAAATGCAGCATCAATAATTGCACATGTGCCATAACACATCAAACTTTCTGCGAGGCACAACAGTGGAGGATTAAGAAATGCATCCCCGACATCTGCTGGTGCACGGTCAAATCATGGAGGGACAATGTACAGCACACGTGTCCAGGACTGGCACTTGGCAAAACATCAAAAACACTGTATTGCAATCACTGATGAAATCGAAGGCATGACACTTGACGTGATAAATCAGTAAAGCAGCTGCGAGCGCTGGAGGAAGCAGTCCTGATAAGCTGCATAAGAGCCTAACCACATAAATTAACCCTTCATATGCTACGGCCATGCATGCACACTCTAACACTGTGTACTCAAAGCCATTCGTGTAGAGCAAAATTATCACCGTATGGTAAATGCAGCTCATACAGTATGAAGCAATCTAATAAACTACTTACAAATAGGCAAATGAAGCAGAGGAAAGAAACTCACTTAGTAGCATTAAAAACACAGTACTTTTGGTTTGTATAATCCGTATGGTAAATGCAGCTCATACAGTATGAAGCAATCTAATAAACTACTTACAAATAGGCAAATGAAGCAGAGGAAAGAAACTCACTTCGCAGCATTATAAACACAGTACTTTTGGTTTGTATAATTAGTGGATTTCCCTTTTAGTATTTAGGTTATTGGTTGCACATTCTCTTTTATTGCTTTATATGCACCACGTTTTTTAAACGCTGGCAGTTGTGCGAAAAGCACTGCAGAGAACAAAGATGTTGTGGGATATATTTTACCAGTCATTTTTGTACATTGTTCTGTGCCAATTTTCTTTTATGCAGATGTCCACGAAAGCACTAATGAGACAGCCGAGGCACCGTTCAATGATGTAATCCTGGACATATCATGAATGGCAGAATTGTTTCATCACATTACTTTTATGAACGTGTAAAACTTACTGTAGCCTTCCTACTTCGTTATTGATGGAGCTTAAAATAAAGCATATTTTGTTAAAACGAGGACCATGCCTTTTGTGTAATATTATGCTGGAAATTTGCAAGTTACTTCAGATATATGCCTAAACAGACGGCTCGTGCATGCAACAGGCACCACATGTGTTGCCAACAGACAAGGAGGAGACCGCACCTGCTTATGTTCACGAGCAAAAATAAAGCAGACGACATTCAGCGAAATTTGGAAGGCTCCTACCCAGCCCAAAAGTTGAATTTTCTCAACAATTCACTGTTTCCAATGAAATAAATCATACAGATCTTTTTTGAAAACATCTGCGATGATTATCAAGACTGCTGGCACATTTGGTGTGGTGCACAGATTAGTATCACACCAGTTGTCATGAACGCAAACTGCATTATGGTTGGGCACATCCCACACATTGCATATGGCCGAGCCGAATTTGTCGCCAACCGCAGCATTGAGAGGCCTTCTGTAATGCAGCGCGCAACCTAGGTGCAAAAGTAGGTGTCGCTATGTACGTACCAAAGCATGGAATCTGTGCGACTTGTGTGTGCAATAAAGCTGCCCGCCGTGGCGGCTAAGCTTCGACTGTTACCAGCAGGAGCCGCATAAACAGTTGCCTTCTATTGAGCCATTGGTTGCATGTGCAGTTATCCAGATGCAAATGCTGCAGTAGCATTCTATCGCATCCAATACAAAGGGCTACTGCCACCACTCACTGTTATCATCAGTAGCCTTCGATTATGCAAGGTTTCCCCTATGCAGCTACGCAAGTGCGAACTTTACAGATTCACGATGAGGGCTTATGCCACCAATTCTGTCACATTGTCCGCCTGCGCTTGTCGTGTTTTTAACATATTACATTTGCACTACATGGCGAGCAGCTAAGTACAACAAAGCAAGGCTATTAGCAGCGACCTGGTAAGAGCTTTTATTGCCCGACTACCAAAAGCACTATTATCGCATCAGGCATCAGTGAATACATAGTTTTCATGCTCTCGCCATTGTGAAATTTCCTCTTGATGTTCATGAAGTGCTCTAGCTGCTTATTAGATGGTGCTCGCAATAAAGTTTGTAACGCGCATATGCACATAAAACCACAACTTTCTCTTCTTATCACTAGCAGTTGAGGCACAGTTCTACTCCAATATAACGCAGTATGCCGGCAATATGCCAGCACTTGCATGTGTCAGGCTGTGCCACATGTAACTAGATTATCAGACACTAATGGATGCATTCCAACATTGCTGGCTTGTGAATAGTTCCGCTCTTATTATTTCTTGCACGCACCGAGCTGTGTCGATAGTCTATACCATCATTCTTGAAACAGGGAACTTGCAAATTAGGAGCGCACATCTGGGGTCACAGCCTGTGTATTCCTCAGCAGCCCTCTGTGCATATGCCAGACGGTTGGTTATCAACATGTTCTGTTGTAGGCGATAGTGCAGAGCGTCTTATTTAGCCCAGCTCACCACTGCAGAATAGGCTATTTCTGTCTGGAGTGGCAATAGACGATAACGCTGAAGTATAACTCACTGTTGCATGTCCTCAAAATTTGGGATGGTCACTCAAGGTCGTAGATGCAACTTAAAATGTATCTGTGCTTCATGTTTAGTGCAGTCCGGAATATAATTTACTAAAACTTCGTTTTGGAGAACAGGGAAGTAACGTACCACTCCCAGCCCAATAAAATGAAAACCAAATGCTACACCATAGTAAGAGGCAGTTCCATTTTTATTACAAGAGATGAAGGCCGTGAAACAGAAAAAAAAAGCATCCCGCAACTGAAACAAACAAATGGTCATAAAAAAACAACCTCCTTCGGCTCATCATTAAGTTACATATGGGGCAGAAAGAAAAAAAGGAAACGAAAACTTGGTGTAAGCTTTTGCTCAGTGGCTCCTGTCGGGGTGACGTTCGCGGGGTGCTGCCTTGATGATGTTGTCCACTCGTAGGATCATCTCGGCAGCTTCGGCTGCACTGAGCAGGACCTGCCGCTTCACGACAAAGGCCTCTGTCACGCCAAGCTTGGCCATATCGTCCACCTTTGCCTCAGTCATGTCTGCAAAGTCGTCGTTAAAATCAGTCAAGTTCTGCAGTCTTCAGCATCGTAACCACAATATGGAAGTGAGGCAAGAGCATTTGTTGATTCTGACTAGCTGTGGTTTATGCACCTGTAGATGAACACCCGCCACAGAGGTTTAGTGGTTATGGCGCTGAGTAACTGAGCCAGCAGGTCATGAGATTGGATCCCAGCCGCATTTTCTATGAAGGTGAAAATACTTGAGGCTCATGTTGTTAGCGTTAGGTTCACATTATTAAAACCCTGGTGGTCCAAATTTCCAGAGCCCGCCACTACAACTCTCACAAGCATATTGCGGTCTTATGACGTTAAACCCCCAAAAGACATCTTTAACATTATTATATTTCACCCCAACAGACTCCATATGAACAGGAAAGTCTTACTGATGCCAGCCGTCTTCTTGCCCTCAGAGTGAGCCGCCCGCAGCTCCGAGACTAGCTGTGCACTGTCAAAGCCAGCATTGTCGGCAATAATCGTGGGGATCTGCAATTAAGCCATAGTTTCAATCACAACACTGGTACAGTTTGGGCTACAACAAATGTTCGACAAAGGAGGAGTGTTGGGCTTCAAGCCAATACTACAGCAGAATATCCATTACAGTAAAACCGACTTATAATGATCCCAAACGTAACTACATACATCGGTTATAATGATGCTATTTCAACGCACTGCGTCCACGTATAGGGCACACTTTTACAACGAAAATGTCTCACACAGTCACAATAAAAAATATGGCGCATGCGAAGCGGAAAAAAAAATGTAAAAATGTAAGTGTAAACACCCACGTCCTCTCCTAAATTCAGTTACAAGCAGACACCCCAGAAAAAGCAGAATACCTTTCTCAGCGCCCTGGCGAATGCCTCCATGGCAAGCGACTCCTTGCCAGCAGTGGACTCGGCCAGTTTGCACACTGCTGCCGACATGAGCATCTCGGAGCTCCCGCCTCCAAACACCACCCGCTTGTCCTTCACAACCTGGAGCACGAGAATATAACGGCACACTTTCTAGCCAAATTCTAGTACACGTCTTCAAAATAAGGCATAAAATCAACTTGCAGTCCCTTACCCAATTGCATACGACAACTCGAAACATTTCTGCAGCGGACATTTGCCATGTACTTTATGCCACGCAACTGATACTTTTGATATCTTTAAGTCACAATAACACAAAGTAAATGCACAGTATGCATGAAGCCACGAGTCGTACAGATGCACAAAAGACTTTTTGCATGAAATAACGGCCCTTTACTCAAGGTCGCATTCGCATGAGACATCTGGGGCTTTCACCTTGCACCTGAATGTGTTGTTACCAAATTTAAAAATAATAAGAATGACTGAAATGCCATTATCTCGGAAAGATCCAGCCCAGGAATTGTTGCATCCGGTGCTGCACAACTCTCCCAAAAAGACGACTTACTTAGTCAAATCTTGTAAGGCAGTTTCAAGATGGCAATGACACTGCATTTGACCACTCTAAGTGAGGCTCTAGCAAACGCTGTTTCGGTTTCATACTCCGTATTTACATGCGTAATCCTCGCAATCGCATAGTTCTCGCACCGCCCCCCTCATTGCCCAACAAAAATACATTTTTTTTTCTCGTGAGTAATTATCGCACTTCCAAAAAATGGAGCCGAAATGTCCGCTCCTTCCAACCACTAATGATGATAGCGCACAACAGCCAGGCACCATTTCTTATGTATTTTGCGTATTCTCAATGCACAGAAACCCAATCCAATACAAGCCAAAGTGGCATGTGCAGGTTGCGGCATGTTAGTGTATGTCGTGTCTGTTCTGTGGTTACGATATGGCGTGATAAGAAAGCTACATGGCTGCTTTCAGGTTCAAAGTGAATAATTATGCAGGATTGCTCTGCTTAGGCAGTAGTAATAGACATTTCAGCCAAAACTAAAGGCTGAGCATTTCGACCGTCTGCGCAACCATTCAATGCTGTTCTTCAGCGCCTTCGGCGCTAACCCCCATTAATCATGCATTAAACAACGACACCGGACCCCCAGTAGGCACTTGGGAGGCGACGAGTTTTGTGTTCGCTATTGGGAGTTGCAGCATGGGCAGTTGAAAGCCACTAAGACACGCTGGGCCTTCCACGTGCCTAAGACTAGGATAGATGGTAAAACTTCATTTCGTCAGAGGGTAATTGCAGATAATTTTGCGTTAGATGGCCATCAGCTCAAGGTTGCCATCGTACGCTAACCTTTGACAGGCTCCGGTTGAGTGACATGCGCTAACGCTACACCAGCAAGCTTTGCATAAGGTATTCCGAAAAAAACTTGCGAATTTCTCGCAGCTCTTGTGTCTCAAATAAATCTTGCCTTGTGTTGAACCTGTAGTTTTATTGCTGAAATAACCACTTCTCAAAGTTCGTAGTTAGTTGTTAGCATGAGAATCCAGATTTGTAGCCACTTCGCTTCTTTCTCTTTTCCCACTTCCCAAGTTTTCTTGAAAAATTTTCCTAGCGTAATTCTCGCATCCCTCCCCCCCCCCCCAACTTTTCATCGGTTTAAAAAAATACGCGAATTCAGCGAGTAAATGCGGTAGATTCTAATAAGCAGGCAGTTTTTGACATCTATATTGAGAGAAAGGCACCCAAATACCGTATTTACTCGCATAATAGGCGCACTTTTTTTTTCAGAAAATCCGGCTCGAAGTTAGGGGTGTGCCAATTACGCGGGGTAAAATTTTCGAAAATTTTTTCAACTCTGTTCTCGCGCTTTAAATCTGCACAATTGTCAAGTAAAAGGCGACTTTATCGTTTACCAATTAATTCAGCATAAAACACATACCTACGTACCTTTTAATGAACAAGCGAGAGCCGTCAACTGCACACACACACGTAAAATTTATTTACACAAAAGTCGTAGCTGTTCCTCCTTTTCCCTATTCGGAGTCCGAATCATCCGCAACCCACAACATGTCATCCTCACTCGCATCCAGTGCGTTCGAGATACCTGTCTTCTTGAAGCTTTTCCTGACGACTTCGTCGGAGATCGCCTGCCACGCTTCCACGATCCAAGCGCACAGCATTTCCACTGGCGGCCTCTTAATCTTACCATTTGGAGTCAGCTGATGTTGTCCTCCAGCCATCCAGGTGGTGTACAGCCTTCGAACATTGTCCTTGAAAGGTTTATTCAAGGACACGTCCAAAGGCTGCAGTATCGATGTGAGGCCACCCGGAATCACTGCCAGATCTGTGCGCAGCTCCTTTAGCTCATCTCGTACGCGGTCTACTAGGTGCCCACGAAAACTGTCCAGGACAAGCATGGACGGCAACAACAGACCACCCGGCCACCGACCCCAGACTGTTTTCACCCAATCCACCATGAGTTCCGCGCTCATCCAGCCTTTTTCCTGAACTCTGACGTAGATGCCTTGAGGGAATTTTGCCTTTGGGAGCGTCTTACGTTTAAAAATAACGTAAGGCGGTAGCTTACGCCCATCCGCTGTCACCGCCAGCATTATGGTGCATCGTTGTTTATCAGCGCCAGACGTTCTGACGATGACGCTCCGTGCACCTTTCTCCTCCACTGTCGTGTTCCACGGCATATCAAAGCAAAGGCGGGTCTGATCGCGTTGCCGATCTGGGACAAAATGAAGTCTTTCTGCTGTCGGAGCTTTATAACAAAACTGTGGAAGTCCACCACTTTGTCCTCATATGCTGCGGGCAAGCGCTGGCACAAGGTGGTCCGCCTTCGCAGTGCGAGGCCATGGTGCCGCATGAAACGAGTTGTCCATCCGGAGCTGGCTTTGAACTCTTTTGCTTCGATGCCCTGCGCTCGGGCTATTCTGCGCGCCTCAGTCTGCACAATATCCATTTGACACAGCACAGCCGTCTTGTCGTAGCTCCCGTATATGCCGGACCAGTTACTCTTCGACGTTCGGATACCTGCCGGTCTTGGCACCGCCGAAAGCCCGTCGTGTCTTCTTCGTCGCCTTTAGTTTTTTTTTCTTGGTCCCTCGCGTACCGAATACTGGTTTCTCCAACGCCGAAATGCCTGCTTGCAGCCCGGTTGACGTGCTCCAGCGCGTACTGCACTGCCTTCAGTTTAAACCCAGCCGTGTAGCTCGCGTACTTCCCCATGGTGGAACCAAAGTTCAATACACGACCACAACATACGCACACCGCTTGCAAAATGGCGTTTCTTTTTCTCTGATGCTGGTGATGGCGATCGAGCCCCCGGCGTTGTACACGTGACCTTCAAAAAGCGCGGCGATTCGGGGGGTATCAGTAATTGATGGAACAGCCGTTTTTTTTTTTTTCCGCTCATGGACGCTTTTTTTTTTCATGTTTTATTTCGACAAACACGTTGGTTAGGTCGTTGCACTTCGAATTTTTTTTATTTGCTCGTCGATTTGCCTTTTTTTTTTCTTCAGGGTACGGGGACCGCGTTCCAACTGTACCGCTGGGGGGTAGAATCGTTTCTGATGACGGCCAAGTTCGGGGTGCGCCTATTATGCGCCGAATTAAAAAAAAAATCGAATTTTCCGCGACCAAACTAGGGGTTATGCGTGTGCCCTGATTATGCGAATTATGCAAATTATGCGTGTGCGCTGATTATGCGAGTAAATACGGCATAGTAAATATCGTAGCAGTCAATAGGATATTTAAATATATTAAACAGTCACCACAGCGCCTAGTCTGTTTCACAAGTCCTGTCATCTACGCTATTTCATAACAAACTGGCCTATGAGATTATGTATGCTACTACATACATTACAGCTGCAAATTTGCCCTTGCCGTACAATAAGAATAAATTAACCAATCCAAAGACAACATTTTTTTTTTTTTAGTATCAATCACACAACACACTAAGCGGCATGACACTAAGCGGCATTTATTATAGCATTAAAGCAATGTCTCTGCACAGCTTCTTAACCTTCCGAAAAAAAAAAAGAAAGCAATTTTTTTATGAGTAAGTCGAAATTTCACAATATCGAAATACCTTCTCTGATTGTTACCGCCAGAGGTAGCTATACGCAAGCGAGAAAACACGCAAAATTAAATACTTGTGGTGGTACCACTTTGAATTTTCCTGCGCCAGCTTGACGTGAAGTCACAGATTTTCATGACATCTGCTAGCACCTTAGTAATTATTCAGTGGTAAAAATTGTGCACTTAGGGTTCTAATAGGCCAAGCCTCAATGTACCAAGTTTAAGGGGAGATGCTACTCGAAAAAGGTTTTTTTTTATTTCATAACCCAGCTCCTTGAAATTTTAGGTGTTAGTAAAGCTTGCAGTGCTGATTTCATAACTGCAATTATTTGTTTGATAGCTATAGTAGTTCCGGAGTTACTACAACTTTGATATCAAAATATAGTGTTTTTTGTGCACATAATAAAGCTTACTAAAAATTTTCACACAGAATTGCAAAATGGCTCATTCTGCTGCACTTGAGCAGTACAATACAGAAAAGTACCTCAAACAGAAAATTTATTTGCTACATTAAAAAAAAAAAAATTAAAAGTACTAAATGCATATTTTACATCTCTCTATCAGTGTATCAAGTTGTGTAACAAAAAATCTGTGATGTATAATGCAACCTAAAGTAGATACTTGTATTCTAGAGTGGCTGATTAAGCTCTGTGCAAAATTTCATCAAGATAGGACTATTTTATGCCTAAAAAAGATTGTGCACAAGATGAGAGAATTACCTCAAAATGGAAATCGAGAAAAATGCATTTGAAAGTTGTAAATATGTTTACTCATGATTACACAGTGCGATTTGCACAAAACTTGGTGATATCATAGAAGGGACACAGCTAGAGCACCTAAAATTGTCCTGCTCCATATGTGGATCCTTCTCGCCGCTTGAGAAGGGAGTCATCAAGGCGCGCTTTCTTTGCCACGTTCCGCCGATGGGCCCTTGCCTCGGCTGTTTCACACGCAGACATTCTTTCGATTCTCCTCTGGTCGCGGGATTGGCCCAGGGTGATCAGTTGATCTGGTGGGACTACACCAA